AACAGGCTAAAGACATAATGTATCATTTATACAAAGCTACAAAGAGCAGTCTAAGAAGCATCGCGCCGAAAGAAATCAAACTTCTAAAGCATTTGCTCAACATAACAGACCCTGAAGAACGATTCTCTGCTCTAGCAACAGCGTTCTCTCCCGGTGATGACCACGAAGCTAAAGACCCTAAAGCATTATACACGTAAGTAAAACAAATCAAAATCCAAACTTTTTTACCGTTTCATCTCTAACCACAATTACCATTGATTGATTCTAACAAAGCTTATGAACATACAGGACACCGAAGGAGCTGCATAAGTGGATAAAGATAATGCTTGATGCTTACCATCTCAACAAAGAAGAAACTGATATTAGAGAAGCTAAGCAAATGAGCCAACCTATTGTAATTCAGCGGCTTTTCGTCCTCAAGGACACGATCGAAGATGAGTATCTAGACAAGAAAACGCTTGTGGCTGATGAAACTCCTAAGAAGGAAGACGACACATCTGTTGAAGAATTTTTGAACTGATGAAATTGAACACAACTCTGTTTAAAAAAGCTGTTTAGGACCTTCTTTACAAGGGGGAGAGAGTAATTTTGTAGAATTCACAGCTATAACTGCAATTACGACTAAATATGAGGTCTATTTATATAAATTAATATTTTAGCAAATTCGAGCTGGGCTATAATGTGAATAAGCCCATGTAGGGCCCAGATAAGCGGTTAGAAAAAGTCAAAATGTCAAACTGACTTGTAGCCCACGAATTTTTTTTCTTGCATGTTACGAAATTACCCTCGTGACATATGGTGCTAAAGTAAGCAGCGTATGAGTTAGGTGTAGAGGTACTTTCTAGAAGAAAGAAGGGTATAATAGTAATTTCAAATAAACCTCCTCCTTTATTATAAGGTCTTAAACCCTACGCGCAGCCATAACATTCCTGTTCATCTCCGAGCTTAAACCCTTCCGATCTCAAGAAAAGCTCCAAAATGGCCTCCGTCGCTCTTCTCCGGTCGCTTCGCCGCCGTGAACTCCAGACGGCTTCAGTCTCTGCGTATAAATCCGTATGTATTCTTCCCTTTGATTTCGACATTTGCTTGAGATTATCACACGTTCTGGGTTTTTGGATCTGAGATCGATGATACTTCTCCGAAATGGATTAGGGTTTTGAGATTATTGAGGGGTTGAATCTGGGTTCGTTTATATTGTATTAGAATCAATCGATTTTCAGGGTTTCTCGATCTAGATTTCTTAAAGTTCCGTACTTTTTGTTCTTTCTGATTCGTCTGTGAATCGATTTACTTTGTTTCAATGCTTCAAATATGGATTTCGAAGCTTACACTTATGGTATTTCGATCTGCAGATTTCTGCAAATGGAAGGAATTCTTTGATTGGAAAATTGAGTCACTTGGCGAGGCCTTTCTGGTTATTTTCAACCTCTCTGTTTATTGTATAGTATGAACAAAGTAACTCCCTTGAAGTGATTTTTTTTTGCTCATACTTTTGTATTTGTATTGTTGTTGTTATGTAGCTCGAGGCCTACTGGAAATGATGTTATCGGTATTGATTTGGGTACTACGAACTCTTGTGTAGCGGTGATGGAAGGAAAGGTATACCAAAGTTTTTGTATTCAATACCAATATATCAGTTTATTGCTTGCTGCTCGATTATAAATGTTATCGTCTTTTGTTTTTGTTTTTCGCAGACTCCCAAAGTTATTGAGAACTCGGAAGGAACTAGAACCACACCGTCGGTGTTTGCTATTAACCAAAAGGGTGAATCTCTTGTTGGAACACCAGCTAAACGTCAGGCGGTAACAAATCCGACAAACACGGTTTTCAGTTCGAAACGTTGGATCGGGAGCCAGTATGATGATCCTCAGATACAGAAGGGGATGAAAATGGTTCCTTACAAGATCGTCAAGGCACCAAATGGTGATGCTTGGGTCGAAGTAAACGGACAGAAATTTTCTCCCAGCCAAATTGCAGCAAATGTCCTCACCAAAATGAAGGAAACCGCTGAAGCTTACCTTGGGAAATCGGTCACTAAAGCTGTTGTTACTGTTCCAGCTTATTTCAACGATGCCCAGAGACAAGCCACAAAGGATGCTGGTAAAATCGCCGGTCTTGATGTTCAGAGGATCATCAACGAACCAACTGCTGCTGCATTATCTTATGGTATGAACAATAAGGAAGGTCTTATAGCTGTGTTCGATCTTGGAGGTGGAACCTTTGATGTTTCGATTTTGGAAATCTCTAGTGGTGTTTTTGAGGTAATGCCTTGTTTTGTCTTCTGCTAAGTTTTTTTTCCTTGATTTGCTATTTTTTTCGTGTGGTTATATGACGTAATCTCTTATCGCAGGTTAAAGCAACAAATGGAGATACCTTTTTGGGAGGAGAAGACTTTGACAACACTTTGTTACAGTATTTGGTTGATGAGTTTAAAAGAAGTGATAATATTGATCTGACAAAGGACAAGCTTGCCCTCCAAAGGCTGAGAGAAGCTGCAGAGAAAGCCAAGATCGAGCTCTCTTCTACATCTCAGACCGAAATCAACCTGCCTTTCATTACCGCTGATGCTTCTGGAGCAAAGCACTTGAACATAACCTTGACTAGGTCAAAGTTTGAAGCTTTGGTTGGCAAGTTGATTGAGAGAACAATATGCCCGTGCCAAAACTGTCTGAAGGATGCTGGAATCTCTGCTAAAGAAATCGATGAGGTTCTTCTTGTCGGTGGAATGACCCGTGTTCCCAAAGTGCAAGAAGTAGTTGCTGAAATCTTTGGAAAGAGCCCTTGTAAAGGTGTTAACCCCGATGAAGCGGTAGCCATGGGAGCAGCTATTCAAGGTGGTATCCTCCGTGGTGATGTCAAGGAGTTGCTTCTTTTGGATGTTACTCCTCTCTCACTCGGTATTGAAACACTGGGAGGAATCTTCACCAGGTTGATCAACCGAAACACCACCATTCCCACTAAGAAGTCTCAGGTAATGAATCTTGAAAAAAGTAACAGTCTCAGATTGTATCTTAAACTTATTGATGGCTAATTGTGATTTGCTTCTTAGGTTTTCTCCACAGCTGCAGACAACCAAATGCAAGTGGGAATCAAAGTTCTTCAGGGAGAGCGTGAAATGGCTTCTGACAACAAAATGCTCGGAGAATTCGATCTCGTTGGGATCCCACCTGCACCTAGAGGAATGCCACAAATCGAAGTCACGTTCGACATTGATGCAAATGGTATTGTAACTGTCTCAGCCAAAGACAAAGCAACATCGAAAGAGCAACAGATCACAATCAGATCTTCAGGTGGTCTCTCTGACGAAGAGATTAACAGAATGGTGAAAGAAGCTGAGCTTAACTCACACAAGGATCAAGAAAAGAAGCAACTTATCGACATTAGGAACAGCGCCGATACTACCTGTTACAGCGTTGAGAAGAGCTTGAGCGAATACAGAGAGAAGATTCCTGCTGAGGTTGCCTCTGAGATTGAAACCGCAGTGTCTGATCTCAGGACTGCAATGGCTGGCGAAAGTATCGAGGACATCAAGGCTAAGCTTGAAGCCGCGAACAAGGCAGTGTCGAAGATTGGTGAACACATGTCTAAGGGATCCGGATCATCTGGTTCCTCTGGAAGCCCTGGTGAAGGTGCAAGTGGGACTGCTGAGCAGACACCTGAAGCTGAATTCGAAGAAGCGAGCGGTTCAAGGAAGTGAGGTAGCTAACTGGTTCATACGGCGAATTCGGGTTTTCTCCAAATAAGTTTTTACATGCTTATCATCATCTTCCCTTACAAATTTGATTAGTTTTGTGTATTTAAAACCTGTTTTGAGAGGTACCTCTTCAATATCTTTTGAAACCTATTGAGATAGTTTCGGTTCGGATGTAGTTCTTTGATTGGTTTTTTGCATGAAACATAAGGGTTAAGGTTATCACCGGTTAAGGTCGGTCCACTTGTCTTTTCTTTCTAAATTATGTTATCATTGGAAGATTATGTTATTATGACATACTACAACAATTGAATTTGTTTCTTTAATATGACAATTCTAGAAAAAAAATGTTGATTTTTCAGTTTTTTCATTAATGCAAAAAAGTTTTATAGAATATGTAAGACTTGGTCATGTTGTATGCATTGTCGTTTTTTATGGAACTTAAATTCAATTACTTGTGAAACTTAAACTTTGGCCATGAAGAGAAAAAATGTGAACAATGTCAGCAAATTATGGACATGCTTTATGTTCCTACAAGACCGATTATATGATCTTCTCACGTAATTTCCACCTTTTGTATTTTTTCTTATTTTGATACCAATAATATAACTTATTGAATTGGTAAAAGTAAATTTTTAAGTAATTTAAACCAAGTTGACAAAAAAAAAAAAAAAGGTAATTTAAACCAAAAAGTTCTATGTAGAATGAATTAGTATCCCGAATCAATAACTTCAAATATTCAAAATGTTGAAAATTAGAAAAAGGTCAAATAATAATAAAGT